TAAAGAAGGGAAAAATGAGACACTTTGTTTTTTTGAAAATTTTGGATAAAAGTTTCTATTGTTATTTAGTTGAATTATGTTCATTGTTTTGTTTGTTGATTTGTTTTGATTCATAAGGACTTCACCAGACCAGTTCCTTGATCAAACTAGGATTGTTTCGAGTACCCACGATAAGTTTTGTTTTCATCACTGATGTTTACTGAAACTGCTTTAGTGAATTCGATCGTTGTTGCCGTTGTAGCAATTTTGATTGGACTAATGGATCAGATGAGGATTGTGGATTATTACAAACCCTTCGCCCCGCAATAGAAGGCCCTCTCGGATTAAAAGGTCTCCTCTAATTAGAAGGCCCCCAAAACGGTTGTGATTGATCGCCGTATTAGAAGGTCCGGGCCTTATATTAGACTCTTGTTTCATTTTCTCTGGTCTGTATTGTTAGTTGCAGAACGATGATTAGCTATCTTGCGTAAGAAGCGGGAAAACATACGTTGAACTCTATCTACATCAAGAAGGATTTACAGATATTGCCTATATTTGAACAAATAATTCTTTTTCTCTTCTCGAACGATGTTCGACTTTATTTATGATTCAAACAAATAGAATTAACTATGATCCGATGATAAGAAGAATATTCTTTAGAACCAAATCGAGAAAAATGAGAAACTGGTTACTTAATAACAGACACAAATGGTTTTTGAAGAATAATGGCAGATAGTTGAAATCAGATCATCGGGAGAAAAATTTTTTAACGTAATACTGTATTACATTTCGTTTTCCTTTTCGTTTTGAACCTTTTTACTTGAGAATCATTATTTGAATGTACAAAAATTTTTAGCACAATCCATGAAAGATTCAAATGTGCAACATGATAGATTTGTTGTCCTTAAATATGAAAATGCTTACTACACTCTTCTTGTTTCATAACAAGAATTAAAGGAGAATAAACTCTTAGTTTTTGAGGTTTATGATTCTGGCTAACATACTACTCTACAAGAGAAAACAAGTTTTTGAACTTCTACATTTTCAATCGATTTAAGATGTAAAAATCGAGAGGCTAAGTATTTGAAAGCTTGAAAATCATACAATACATAGCTCAAAAATCGAAATTCAGTAGTTAATAAACCGTAATGATATGTTGTCATATTTGTCAAAGTCTGTCAGACAGAATGGAGGGAATTTACTTTTCTCACTCTATTCTTCAACACTATTTTGTATCTTTTTTTACAAAATGAAGGAATAAATGTTCATTCATTGACGTTAGTGAGGAAGCTCATGATTGAATTAATTGATTAATCTAATTTTTTCTCTTCCTCTTTAGTTAATGAAGAATTTCTTTATTCATTTATTCAGACATTTCGAAATTGACAAAGAAAATTTCTACATATAGTCTTTTCTCTTCTTCTTTTTTTTGAATACTGGTACGGAACAGGATGGTAAGCTGGTAGGGTTGAATGACTATTCATCATCATCTCCCTCAGTACCAGTATTCAAACAAAAGAAGAAGAAAAACAGATCATATGTAGAAATTTGTCCTTGTCAACTATATCATCACTGAAGGAGACTGATGATGGTCTCTATACCGAAATGTTTGAATAAATGGATGAAGAAATTCTTCACTAACTAAATAGGAAGAAAAAAATTTAGATTAATCAATTAATTCGAATAAACGTTCAATTTGAAAATTTCATAAATTTTTGTGATATATCAATCATAGATTTCTAATAGAAGACCCCTCACAAAAGCTTGTTTGCTTCGCCATTATAGAAGGTCTGGTGCCTTTTATTGCGGGAGGAAGTTTATATTCGATTCAATTCTTGAATATATGTTTAAACCAAATATGAATTGTTTCAAAAAAAAAATTCTTAAGTATTTTAAGATCAACTGTCTATAAAAGTTTCAGTTATTGTTCTATTTGCATTTGATTATACATCATCTTGTTTAGAATTACGAAAAAAGTACCTTTATGTTATTTTCGAATGTATTTACATAATTTAATTTCTCGTTTTAATTGTTGTTTTTATTGTTGTTATGTATGAATTATATATTTGGAAAGCTAATACTACTTAAAGAATTATCAAAGATTCTATAAAAGGTTAATCTATTTGTCAAAAAATGATTCATATTATTTTACTATTATTATTTTCAGTGATATGATATTATCATTTCTAATATATTAGAAATTATTGTTTCTTATTGATGTTGCATATTCACTATAGTTGTGTTTAATATATTATTAAGCATCTTTAGTATATGGAATACTTCATAAATGTTGATCCAGTGGTAGAGCTGCACGATTTCAAAAATAAATGGAAGTGAGAAGCGAAATCGATTTTTTTTTCGTAGTTGTTCTCTGATTTTTGTCTGTTGAAGTAAATACTCGTTCAATAAAAATGTTATGATCTCCAAAAATAAAAGAGGAATATTTTTTCCTTAATTTACTCAACAATAAAGTATCTGAAAATGAGACTGAGTCGATAATGATGCACTTGTAATTTTTTAGATGTGAAAATTAATTTAGAAAAAGAATGAGATAACGCTCCAATGTGGACTGATTGAATGGTCTATCTACGCTTCCTATTTGGATAACGCTTTTTGGACAAACGATTTCTTGGTCTTAGTCAATACATACAATACGTTCATTGTCTATTTTATTCTTTTTGTTAGTGCTAGTATATAATCTTGTGGTCATCAATAAGAAAGATAGAAAAAAACAAAGAATGGCTCAATCAACGAACAAAAAGAAGAAATTATTCGTGTTAACTTCGATGATTGATGAAGGTCTCTATGAAGCTAATGAGATCAAATTATTCCGAGCCAACAGTCGGCTTGACGTCGCCAAGTATATGCTACTCACAAAATGCAAATTGAACTGTTGGGCGAAGGCTTATGAGATCATTGAAAAGTTTGATCGTAACAACGACGATCTTGATGAAACTGCTCGACTTCTCTTGATTTCAATCGATCAGAGCGAGGTCGATGGTGATTCCGAAGCTAAAGTTATTCTTGATCAAATCCAAGAACCCAAGGAAATCGACGAACTCGATGGATCTGATGAACAAAACAAAGATTCGATTTGTACTTGTTTGTAAACTAGAATTTTGTTATTCAAGATGAAATAAACATTTGAAACGAGCGAACATAGAAAATGTGTATGAAAAGAAAACCGTTAGAAGCAGTATAATGATCTTAAAGATAATTATCTTTACTCAAACTGGGTGGACAGACCAGTCACCAGAAAGAAGTCAGCTTTTGTTTATAGATACTAACAATTAATGCTGGTGCTCTGGGATTTCGAGCTACCATGGGATCATTCGAGAATATGTAAATAAACAAAGAACGAAAATCTTCCATTTTCTCAATCGATTTGTATTTGAAATGAGAAATTCTTTAATAGGATTTATCAATTTTTATTTCGCACACGAAATCAGATCGATCAAAATCGAGACAATAAATGTCAATAAGGTGTGGGTGTGGGAGTGTGGGGTGTCGGCATGAATCTTCATCATTCTTCGAGATGGCCGCATCCACACCCATACTAAAGGATAGTGAAGCTTTAGAAAAAATTTATTTTTACAAATCGATTACTCTTTCACCGAACACGCAAACTGATCATTTCATGTTCAATCTCATTTAACATAAGATTGACATTTACAAATAGAAGCACCATTTACTGAATATATTCCAAAAAGTTGAACTTATTGAGAAACAGAACAATTTTATATCAGTTAGTTTTAGGCACATTTTATCTGTAACAAATTTAACATGTAAACTATTCTCTCTTAGAAATAACAATTTCATATTTTCTTTGAGGTAATCACAGTGTACATCATATAATCAATTTACAAACACATCAAAAAGTGTTTAAAATCATTTTATTTGAATTGGATATCTCTTAAGAAATGTTCTTCTTTTTTGAAAATAACATTTCTCAACAATTATTTTATATTATGTCATTAAATAGGTTTGATCATATTGAGGGTATGGGTGTTAGAGAGTAGACACCTACGGCCAGACATCTACTCCCTTGATGTTCAATATTTTGAGCGCGACATAAGAGGGAAACGGCGTATTCCAGGAGTACGAGAGTACGCCGTTCCCCCATTTGCGTCGAATAGATTTAAGATTATGAACTAACCTGAAGAATACAACCCAATTCATTTCTACTTTCACATGCTGACAATTGTTTTCTGTGTATTTTCAGCTGACCTGAATATTACGTTAATGTTCCATCCATTGTGTGAAGAATAAGAATAAGATTATGGAGCATAAATTTTTCAGTTAGCTAATAAAAGTGTATGTGAATTATTGTTAACCATTTTCTTTGTTATACACTTGTGTAATGCAAAGAATAAAGTTTTATTTGTTTTTCACCACCTCGTTTATACGTTACATAAATGTGATAAAAACTCATTAGTTTTTTACGAAAGAAGTAAAATAAAAAAAGATAATGAGTTGCATCTACAAAAATGAAAAAATAAATATCGGTGTGTGTTCCAATTTTCTTGCATGAATAAATAGTTGTCGATGCACAATCTCTACTGTACATCATCAATAAAGAACGAAAAAATAAAATCCTATTTTCATTATATCGAATATTATCACAGAATAAAACAAAATGAAATGTTTCAAAAAGTCGAATTAACTGAACAAGAAACAGCCACCAAGTATGGAATTTTTGCTGTGTTTCGATCACAAAATCTTAAGTCATTTGAAGTCTTTACTTACGATAGAGGCGTGACTTGCGTCAAAAGTATACTAGTGAGTATCTATACTATATCCAGAAAAAATTTCACCCGTAAATTATCAGTCATAATGAAATTGAAGATAAAACAATGTGAAATAGGCACATCTTGTTGTACTAAATTAATCTTTATATGAATAAAATTTATTTTCTTCTGCTAACAAAAATTTGAAGTACAACTGAAATTACAAGAATTTATTTCTAAAAATCACTCAGACTACTCTTTCTAGTTAACATGAGTCAACGTTTATTGTTTTTATTAATCATAAAGGACGAGACAACGAACTTCAATACTACATTGTTGGATGTTCGTCGAAAGCACAGACTCATTGATAAACGCTGTGTGAGCACCGAATTGAGCAACATCGGGTTTGCTATCGAATATTTTGAAGACAAACATTTCATTCGATCGCATGTTACTTAAATAATACCACTTTTGAGCATCTTGGCTATTATGCGAGATAATGTAGAGTGCAATAGTAACTAGGGAATTGCGAATTTCTGATACATGAAGATCATTGTCAAGATCTAATGAACGATAATCACAAATGGTTAATGGAGTATTCATTATAGGATTAGGACCCAATGGACGCCAAACATTGATAATTTGACAACGCTTTTGCATTACTCTGGTAGCCACTTCTTCGCCAAGCATTTGTTTGACTTTAAAGTGAGCAGCAGGTGGATCATAATCTACATGTGGATAGAAGACAGGATTCCTGTGGTACAAATCGCATTGATCGACCGGACGTGGTGGTCCTCGATAACGTGTTATGTGATTGTAGATGATTACACGAGAGGCACCTAAACGCTTTTTCAACACGCTAGTAATTTCTTCATAATAATGTTGTTGGGTTTCACTATTATCATTGAATTCATCATGTATATCACCATCATATTTGAGTATTTCAAAGCCATTAGTGTCGAGATCGATAATGTTCTCTTTACCTCGCAGATCGTGAATGGTAATTCGTACTGGTGTTTGTGCAAAATTCGAGCTTAGCCAGCCCAATTTAGGGTTCCCATCCATCCATGGAGGAGAACCATCGATTGTGTGACTAAAGAAATTAAGTGCTCCTGTAATATCACCATCCATTCGTAATTCAACAGAACTCAGATAAATAGAACCAATGTATGTAACAAAAGAGACAATGACATACAAGTAATTCTTTTTCTTCTTCTTTCTTATCTTACTCAAAACAAAATTCTAACAAAAGTGGATGTGATAAGAGTTATTCAACCTCGCTGTGAACTGCTTTTTGCCATATTACAAGTTACTCTTTCGTTCGACTATTACCTAGTATTGTTAGAATATGTAAAATATCGCACCCAGTTTTATCGTAGTGCGATATGAGAAGAAAGAACAGCAGAAAAAAAAAGAGATAATTTTATTTAGAAATAACATCGTTCAAAATTGACAAAGAAATTTTGGACTGACTCTTTCGTATATAAATTAGAGATGTCCTGACGAAACCATTTTTCTTAAAAATCAGAAAAAATGGAAGCAAATATTCTCCACAATAGAAGACCTCGCTGATCAGAAAGTTTGAAAGTGTATTACAAGATTTTCCTATAATATAAGCCCCTTCTGAGGCAAAAACTTCAATGATAAATTAAAAGATTTGAATCTTCCTATTTAACAAAAAAAAACACTTCTCTTGAATTGTCTATATAGTTTTTAATCAGACGTCACATGACGAATTTACGCTGTTGTAGACAAATATTTCTTTTATAAAGAATGAAAAGAAAAGAAATACAATAACACACAACAGTTGCATCCATTAGAGAATAGAAAGATAAATAAATAATATTCTTTTAGAACCATTTAAATAGTACATCATCATTATTTTTGGTCCTAAAAGTGAGTTCCAAACTACGTAAATGCCAAATTTAGAGCTCAATTTATAGGTCATCTTGGCAAACACCTAAACTTTGACGAGTTATCGTCGGAAACATTCACTTTATCTGACCTTTAAAACAAAAAAATAAACCGTCAACAAAGACCAAAAAATGATCCCCTTCAACACTAACACCCAGGATCTCTCTTATAATTCACACAATTTCTAATTGTTCTACTCAGAATTTTTTTTTGAACTTCTCAAATAAATCAGATTATTCCTATCGAATGTCGACAGAAGTCAACAAAAATCTCAAATGATCTTTAGAAGATTATGAAAAAAATCTCATTGAAACGGTTTTCACATTAAGAATAAAACATTTTTGGATAGAAAGACCCCTAGTATTCAATTTATATACTTTCTTTTACAAATTACACTATTTTTTTAAAAAAAATAAATTTCATTTTCTTTTTAAAATTCGATCAAGATTTTTCTATGTTTCTCTATTGAAACAGAAAAATATCTTGTCTATTCAAAGTACATGTTTAAAATCTAGAAGACTTTTCTTTGAAAGACCTTTTATCTATTACATAAAGCTTGCATGTAGTCTAGTGTTTATTAAAATATACAAGAAAAATCTCATGAAGTATCCTAATTATACTGTAATGCACATACATCATTCAATCGATCTATTAAAAAAGAAAATGAAAAAGTTAGCAAAGTTCAAATTAGTGAGAACAAGTAACATATAAAAAAAAGAATATTTCATAGACTAGTTTATCTTGAAAAATTCGACAGCTAAAACAATCGCTTTTATGATTTCATAAGACAGTAATCTCTCATTGGATATTATTTATGCCAATGTACTTGTCTAAGAATATTATTAACTAAAGGTGAACATATACCATTATAGACATTACTAAAAACGAGTATATATTGGATTGTTGCAAAAATTTTTGCTAATTGTTTTGAAAATCTTTTAAAATCATCTGTCAATATTATGCATATGTGTGTTTTGTATATTTTATGATTTTTGGATTCACATATTAGTTGAATTTAAATAGACTTTATTTAAGATAATTAACTTGTGCTTCAATGCTGAAAAGAAAAGTTTAAATCAAGTATATATATTCGGTTATCATGATAGCCGAAAATGCAGTGTAACTTATAAAAAAAAAAGAAAAATATTACGAGAAAGCATGGTGATGATCTTATTCGTGATGAAAAATAAAATAAGTCGACCAAATGCTATCTTATTCAATTATATATTGGAAAGATACAGTTTTTCACCACTTATTTTGTGGTATTAGAAGTTTTTTGGAAGACAATTGATCTGCTATATTTTTCAGGCAAAACATAAAAACTAGCTAGAGCCCGTGCATACTACCCAGCTGTTTTCTCTTTCAGCGTACGACCTCAGATATTTAACATTACATTCAGTACCAGACATACAGGCATTCGATATTATGTATATAGATGGATAGCCCTACAGCCTCATACGCTTATATATCGCACATGTTTTTATAGTCTATGTAGCCTTCGGCCTTATAACCTTATTCCCTTCAGGGCCTAGAGATATCCGCATACAATAACCCTTGATGACTATTGGTACTCGGATAGGAAAGCTCTTGAGGACCTATGGGTACTCTTATAGGATAGCCCCTGACAACCTATAGTTACCTTATTTGATCTTTGACCTCTGATCCGACACAGAGAAACATACAGACACACACTGAACATTACATATATAGATTGGCCATGAGGTCAAAGCATTCGGTCGCATATTGATGGAATGTTTTCACGTCAATAACTCGATAGAAGACGAAAATAAATGAAGAACTTTCCATTGACAAATCCTCACAGTCAAATTAAACGCATTCATAGACGTCTATACCATACAGAAAACAACCAATGACAAAACAACGAAAGGAATTCAAGGATAAAACTGAAAGAAATAAAAATGTTCTTTGTCGCTGTATAAATCTTGAATAAAATGAAAAACTAAGAAAAAAAAACATTGTGAACATAATGTAAACTCTTAAGGACTATACATGTTGTCGGTAAATGATTTTTTAACTATTGAATAAGTTCATCATTGTTAACTTGATCTTTCTCATGAAATGTTCCATCATTATTTCTTTTTAAAATCATATAATCTGATTATTTCTCATCATTTTGATAAATATATAATCATTGAATAGCTAATAATGAACGAATTAATAGAAGATATTCATTTTCATTGAAATAATGAACATAATTTTCGAAATTAAATTTACGAATAGATGAAATTCTATGTTTGAATAATGACATTGATATAGATATTGATGTATCCTGATGAATAGTCAATGTAGTTAGATAAGATACTCGGTTTAATATAGTTTGCAATTCTGATTCGAAAGTATCATCATAAGACGATAGAATTAAGTATCTTCAGTTTGTTTAAATTTGGAACAATTGATCAAAATCGAGCATTGATGGAGAATTTTATACAAAGGTATGTGATATTCGATAGACATATGTTAGATGGAATTGGATGATTGAAAAATCTAATAGCATTGATTGTAGTCATGCAATTATAATACTTTTGATAATCATCATTTGAACATGTGTATTGACATTGACCTAAAATAATTTCATCGTACTTATCAGGCTTGTTAGAGAGAGTATTTAGACAAGTGACATGTCTTCCTATATAAAACGTCGGACAAACCATTGTTTTTCATAAATCCAAAATGAACTTCGAAATGAATCCAATAAGTTCTTAGCTTCTTTTTGTTTAATTTGTTGATTATGAGAAAATCATCTCATTTTTAATCGAAATGTTTTCAATTTTGGTAAGTAATTACGAATGATATGTTCCCATTGATGACCATCGATTAGATTATGTTATAAGTTGATCTCCAAATGACGTAAAGTAGGCATATTTTTCAATAAGTTTGTCATTGTCAAATTTTTTACTTCTTCGTAAATTGACAATATGATTTGGAAAAAGACAAAACCGATGTTTCATATACTTTATTTTCTTCTTTCACGAATTTATTGAAAAAACTGATTTCTTCTATTTCTGAGCGTCTCATGATGTTTGCGATACAGTTTATTATGCACGTATCGCTGTAGAAGCAAATCATTAAAACTCGATTTTTTTCTCAAGATGCCTCGTTAACTTTTCAACAACAATCGAAGTAAAAGATCCTCATAGCTTGCTCTAGTAAATTTTTCAAGAAGACTATAAAAAAAAAGTACGAGATGCTGAAATTCTTCACTGTAGCAATACAATAAACGTTCTAGAAATTGCAAGTGTATTGTTGAAATCAAGTTCATTGTACAAAAACTTATTGCTAAATGCAATCATACAGTCAAAAACATCCTTTTCGTGTTCGAAAATTGTCACAACGAATTAAAAGTCAGCAAAAAATGACTAGTAGTTTCCGTAATGAACGAAATGAATTCATAAGAGCGAGGAATTTTAGTAATTCGTATGTACTCTTTTTAGTCCTTTCGAAACTTATTGGAAAACGTTTTAAAACACTTATAGTTAGTTTGTTATAGAGAATTTAACAAGGTATCTTCAAAAAAATCAAGATTCAATATTCTGGCTATGCTGAAATATACGCGAAATAAACTATGTTGCAAACATTTTTGACAATGCTCTATTTATAATTATTCCTTATAATGTCAATTCTGTTGTTGCTGTAGTAGTTTTACTGATATCATCCATTTCTTATTCGTAGATATTGGTTTTAGTAAATCGTATAAGTGAAAAATTACTGTTCCATCCTTTAAGTAACGAAATTGGTACTGAAATTTTATTTTATATACTGTCGCGGTGGTGGCAGTCCTTTTATTACTTCACCGCACGGCAACAACAGGTTTTCAACTGCAATGGACATCTATGATTCGTACTCGTACTCAAAAAAGCTCGTATTGAGCCAAGAAAATGATAACAAAGTAAGCGAGCGATAGAAAAAGAACGAAAGTGACAGAGCGAAGGACAAGCTGTTGAATCGTTGCATGTTTATCAATAGAAAGATAGATAAGACGTGCTTCTTCACTTCTACTTTTAATAACAAGAATTGTTCTTTTTTCTTCACATATAAAGGATGGCCAAATAGTTCTGATTCGATTTGTATAATAAATTTTTATATCGTGAAATATGTGCTTATAAATTTGTCTTTATGATGAAACGATGTAGTAAAAGATGAACTACAAAATGACTATTTATTGACTTCGGATAGATCATGTGGTAAGAAAGTTATAT